CTGAGGTACTGAGCAGGGGAATGGCCACCTGTTGGCTTTTTCCACTGACCTACGCATAGTAGCTTCCACACAATGACTGTTGTTGCGCTCTGTATCTAATGCGTTCTTTAGGGGAATATTATTACCGTCGCTCCCCCAGTCTCTGCTGTGTTGGCTTGGTGGTCTATGCTTCTGGGAAATGAGAAGGTCAGAGCTTAGACTCCAAATATCAACTCTGTACATACTCTGCATTCACATAATAATGCGTTCCACGTGAGTTGGCAGACTGAAATGTTCTGGTGCAGGAAAAACAGCTCTCGTAATAATTAAAGTTCATCTGTCCGCGCTAATGGTGCCGAGTCTCACAACTAATGAGGCCTCACTGCATTGGGTGTGTGTGAAGGTCATCCTAAACCGTCCCGGTGAAAATGAAATAAGATGAAACCTGCATTGTTTTCATGGTCAGGTATTATCTGGGTCATTGTGATGAGCCTGAACTAGAAGAAAGAATACATAACAAGTAGTTGTTGTAAAATGCAACATGTCTGAAGGACTCCAGCGTGCTGTAGAATACAAAGGAAAACAGTTATCCACTGCTGTCACAGTGTAGCTGTGTGTTTGTCTTTGAAGGTCATGTCTGTGTGAGAGCATTCCTGTTTTCATTCCTGCCTAAGAAAGGCTGTGCTCAAGTGTTTTTCTCTATCGGCTGAAAGTGTGATGACACACAGCTTCTGTATACATATCCATCCTCTTACTATAGTGCTTGTCTTCAGATACTTTCCAGCAGTGCAGCAAGTTATCATTCACAGGGCCTATGTGGCTTCAGTCAGCCTCTCAATTACCTCAAACATCAAACACATACAATATGAACAGTGATGTGGGAGGATCAAAAGAATCTATTAAAGTCAAGAAAACAATTGAATGTTTTGGTAAGGGCGTACAGCTACAGCTGGCTTGAACCTGGTGTCAGAATATGTTTACCCAGTGGTTTAAGCAAATAACATATCCGATGCCTCGTATTCTCCTCAGGACAAATGTACATGTAACTCTAACAGAGCAGCCAGAACAGCACGTCTCATTCTGACCACTGCGAGCAGTCAGTGTGAAAGATTATTGGATACATGCGTCTAAAGCATTATGCTAATTTCCCCGGGTTCAGTGGAGGGCTGGATCCACTGTGCACTAATAACTGCGTTTCATATTTGAGGCCAGCTCTTGCTCTTTTGATCTCATCCTTTCCAGAATTTAACATTAGCTGCTCAGATGTTACCCCATTTAAAGGATTCAAACTAACGATGAATGAATGAACTCTGTTTGAGAGGCCTGGGCATCAGCTTAATCCCAACAGCAGTACTGGTAGGCATGTGTTTATAGGTTTATAGGCGTTTTCTCAGGAGAGTGGAAACACCAGGAGAACATTCCCACTGAGAATGGGATGCCTTCCCATTTCTAAACAGGAAAGTATTTTTAGGAGCGAGCGGGTTTGTTTGGATGTGATTAGAACTGTTGTCAGCAGGGAGAAAAGACTATGAGCATTCCCACATAATTGCTTTTTTCTAGGGGAAATGGATGGTGTATTAGCCAGAGCCAGTGCATTGTAGTACATAATAATAAGGTGATGGAGGACATATAGTATGTACAATTCGGAAGAGATAGTGAATCTCTGTGGGTGTATTCCAGGTAGTTCCTCTTATGCTATATGATCCTCCGTATTTTGCATAACCGAGAGACCTGTCATTTCCCAGAGACAGGTTTTGTTTACAATAGCATTGAGGCGTCAGATGTTCCTGTTTGCTGATACCATGTGAGCTCAGAGGCAGAGAGAGGTGTGGCACCTGTTATGAGACAGATGACTGTCAGTACTGGCATGAATTCCAGGCTTCAGGGTTCAGACAGATGACAAGCAAGGATCGTGGCTTTATTTGTTTGTCTTTTTCCTGTGTTTGAGCATGGCTAACAATCAAGGAGTGCCTAGCACACCATGCTTATCCAGTTTTACAGCATTTATGTTGACGGTATTCATTTCACTGCAAGGCAAATACCAAACACACACTGCTGGTCAGAGGAAGTCAACTTGCCAAACTGGTTCTCCTTTCTTGGGTCAGATGAGATGACAGGGCCATACTACCTGCTGTACAGCATCTCTCTTTGTTGCTTCATTTGTCTCACCTTTCAGTATAGGAGTGTACACTGATGCCACCTTGTGTTCAGAAGGCTAATTACATGAATTGGCAATCTGTAATAAATAAAGTTCTAAATGAGGTTTCTCACAGTGGAGGTTTTAGCTTTAAATCAGGTCATGTTTAACAGCATTGTGGTAGAATTAATAACAATAACAGAATATTAACTCATTGCCTTAGAGGCCCATCAAGCCATTAAGGAAGTGTTGTCTTTCAAAACAATGAACTTGAATGTTCAGACACATTTTCTTTAGTGCAAATCAATAGTAGGCTGGTCATTAAACCTGAATAAGTGCAGCAAACCGTTCTAAAAAGATAGTAGAGCTGAAATGAATCAACTGACAGAAAATCTATCTGTGATCTGATAAAAAAAAATTCAGGTAATTCTTTACATGTAAATGCCCTTTTCTGACAATTTTAGACCAAAAGATACATTTTTATTTATTTTGCTTAACCTTTATTTAACCAGCAATCAATAAGATTTAAAAATGTCTTTGTCAGGAGGGTCCTGGCAGCAGTAACAATATATGACCAGTGACACAAGACAGAACAGAGCACTACATTACAACTTCAGAATTAGGAATAAAAAATAACTAATAAAATTTGTAATTATATAAAAGACAACCCAAGAGCTGTCTTAAACCAATCTAAAACAATGACTTTATGAGGCAACAAATATCCTAAACATTGGCAGCCAGAAGAGAGAACATTGCGAGAGGTTCCACTGAAAGATGAAGAAGAAAATAATTGTTGGTTTGATTTGATCGGTTTAACAAGTTGAGTTAGAGTTTTTAGTTGGATGATCAGTACATGAAACCTCTGTAAAAACATCCATCACTTACTGATCCACCAGACTTGCTGACTGCTTTTGTTGTGTTTTGCGTCATCATTCCTCTCCGTTGTTGTTGTTGTCAGTTGTCAGTGTGTTGTTTGATAAAGAAGTTGCATTTACAGGATCCCATTTGCACTGAAACCCCATCAGACACCCTACAGTCAGACCTCATTAATCAGACGTCTCTGTGTATTAGCACAGTGGATGCTGTCTCTCTCTGCCGACTAATAATGTTTCTGTTTCTTCCAGGCAGTAAGTCCATCTGATTTTTGATATTGACTCAATCGGGCTGCAGTTTAGGTTAACCACTGGCTTAATGCAGAGTTTGGAGGAACATTTTAAGTGGTGTGAATACACTGACTGGATGCTTCATCACTTTATGCACATTTCCCTCCAAAATAATAAGAATGTAAGGATTTTCCAGTAGTTATTCTAATCCGTTGGTATTTTTCATGTGTGGTTCCTCACTCACAGCAGTTTCCTCATCTTTGTCCATGTAAGCGTTGCCCCGGCCCTACACTGTCTCTGTGCCCTGGCAGGATGAGGCAGACGAGGCATATCGAGGGAAGAAGCTTAGATACATTAAACCTGCAGTGGAGGCTGAAAAGCCAGGTTCTGTCCAGGGGAGGAAGGATTTGTAGCAACATCCAAAAGCAGTTTACTCAGGCAGTTTAGGATTTTGTTGGTCAGTGCTTAGGTTAGGCTGTTCCAGAAATAGCTGGTTTGAGCATCCAGCAGCTCTGGCTGAAGGTAGAACACAATATCTGTGATGTAGAGTTTGGAGGTGGATCTCATCATGACTAAGGTGGATGACATACCTGAACTGCTGACCAAGCAGGAAGGAGTTAGTTATTACAGAGAGATGGTGAGAGGAGAGCTGAAATGATTAGTTGACAGAAAACTGATCTGAAACAATCACTTAACTATCTATTATCGATTATAGAAAACTGAATATCGTAAACTAACTGAACATTTTCACTTATTTTGGGGCTTTTATTGCCTTTATCTGATAGTGACAGGAAAACAGGGAGAGTAAAGGGGGGGCGGTGTCAAAGATATGCAGCAAATCCTCACATTTAAGAAGTTTAAACCAAACAATAACTGGAAATCTTGCTTGAAAAAAATTTTGTTTTAATTAAATTAATTTAATAAATAAATTGATTATTGTTTGTTGATTGACTAATAGTTGCTGCTGTAATGATAATTGTCAGTTGTAGGCCAAGGTGAGATTATCTCGCAGCAGTTTTGAGGGCCTTTGTTCTACTATTTCTAGCAGTTTGGCGCCCTCTCCTGGCCCAAAACCTGAACTACCACACACTGTACTAACTGCAGTCTCAGGTCTGAGAGCAAAATTACTGTTGGTCCCAGGAGCAGGAGGCATTTACTTGGCAGGAGGAAATACAAGCATCCCACATTTCCTACCAGTAACGGATAGAGCCAACATTTGATTGATGCATGACCTGGGTGCTTCGGTGCTAAACATCAATCAGAGAAGGGTGCATGAATGCTGTGGTTATTCAGTGTAATGGGAATGTCAATAACTCTTGCATCCTCTGATGAATACGCAAGTAGCTTGCCATGATTCACCAGTGAAGGCTGCTGATTTTTAAAGCACTGTTATTGAACCAAGCACAAGACCTCACTTGTCCAAGTGACTGATGTGGCGTGATGCATGTTGTTTCTGCGGTTTTAACTGTTACCAAGTGGTTTTCTAGTAAGTCAGCACCTACTGGTACAGCAGAGAAATGAGAAAATGTCATCTTGTGGCTCTTAAGGCAAATTATTTGGTGACTGTATCAAGTGACAAAATCTTCATAGCTAGAACTACACAGTCAGTAGCACGTAAAATACTTACAATGCAGGTGAGAGTTGTACCCAAGACAGTTTATCCTCCGTGGGAGCCTAATGGGGAAAGTCATCAAGTGTGTAAGCGAGTGTCAAAAAGAAACATAGCCTGTTTACTCAGTTCAGTGCATGTAGGAGGAGGAATAAAAGCCCCACAGACAGGGTTAGTACACATTTTTTAATAACATGGCACAATTTACATAACACAAGTTTAAATGAGGAGCATGCTGAAGATTCAGTCGCTTCATTTTTTTCTCATTTTTGTACATGATCTAGAAAGACTTCATTTTTTTCCCTGTACATGGTAAACAGCAAAAAAGGTTTCTCATTTAACAATCTTTTTGCAATACGCATCGACTAACCACTATGGCTCCGGTGGACATTTTTATGTTGGATTAAAAAACACTGCACGACATGATATCACAGAGTTTGAAGCGCACAACTAAACCTTCGGTGGACTACTAAAATAGATCTCTGCTCATTAGAAACAAACTGTCCATAGTTTAGACCATAGCTTTTTTGTCTTTTGATTTTGTAGGTACAACAACTTAGGAAAGCACTTTAATACAGTTTGACCAACAGAACCTATTTCCAAAACATGTACTTTACACTCCTTCAATAGGGCAGATGTGCTGTCATAGTGTTTAATGTGCTGCATTCTCCCCAGAACAAGACTGGTGGTAACTGAGTGAAGGAAGAATGGGGGGAAAAAATGAAGAATCTTAACATTTGCGCTGCTGGCTTTTTACACTGAATATTCTTTGAAATGCAATACTTCCATCAGCTGTTTCTAGGATTGTCACCACAATTTATCAATTTAATCCAATTGACTACCTGTGTGGATTAGTTAAAGCTTGTATCTGTTTGCGTGGACCCAATGTGTGTCAAGTCTGTTGTGGAGAGAATACAGCTTTTTGTCCTTTATTGGTACACAGTCAGTAGTGGTGAGAAGGCCAGCTTTCAGAAAGGGAGCCCAGACATTTGTTGCATAGTTGAATATGGGGTCTCTGGTACAATGCTAATCAGCTGCGTCAACCAAAAAAACAAACAGCAAAAAGCACATTCTGAATCACCGCTGTAATACTCCTCCTATTTACATGTGTTCAAAGTAAAGCTTTCAAAACACCCTTTTGCATATTTGTACCATGATTTTTAATCCATACAGAGCGAGCACAGCGACTGTACACATTATCTACACACTTTGTTTGTCAGTGCTGAAGTACCTGTACATTCCAAAATTGTTCATTCTTACTCACGTCACTTCGCTTTACAAGAGAAAGAATGACCACAAAAAAACTGGAGCAAACTGGAAAAAAATCTTTGAAAAATCAATTTTTTGTTCCATGATTATTGTCTCTTTGTAGTTTTATACAAAAACAATTCATTGTGTGGGCATGTCTCTGCCCACATAAGTTATTCACAGCTATGTTACAGTCTTGCTTTGCCCAAAGCTAAGTGCTTGGTGTGAGTTCAGTGTTAGTGAGGCACAGGGCAGCAGGGGCACTGAGTCTACGGAGGCTCAGCTCACCGTGCCTCAATGTCTTTGTGAGGCGGTCTGTCTCTGATATCTGTGGCCAGGGGAGTAGTCCGTCTGGGTGAGCCGGGCCGGGCACCCAGTGTGGGGATAAGTGGAGGTGGCGCACTCAGAGAGGCGGTGGGTGGCGTTTTGTTGAGGATACCGTTCTGATGGGCTGCAGCTGCGGCAGCGGCTGCCGCTGCTGCAGCTGTGGGGCTGACCGCGGGAGTAGTGCATGCCTGGGGAGTCCAGGAGCCCCCATGAGGCCTGGGGCGGGTGGGGGAAGGGTGTCCATCAAGGGCCTGGATGGTGCCATTGAGTGTGTGGAGGCGCCCGTGGCTGTAAGTCATCTCTAAGCATGTGAGCCGTTCACGCTCCTTAACCAGCTGGGCAGCCGCTCCCTGCTCCCCCTCCTATGCTCGCAGGGCCCAGAGGGTGGATGTGATCCCGATTAAAGTCATGAAGGCCTCCGCGAATCCCCTGTACGAGCGCTCCAGCCCTCCGTAGAGGCGAGGTGCTGCCAGCCGGTGTAAAGGGTCAATTCCTCAGCAAATGCAGGTCCCTAGCCAAAGGATCCCCGTCTGTGAAGTCGCAGGCCCCTGTAGGGGTCCCCTCCATCGGGTCCGCAGTGGAAGGCCAGGGTAGGGGGAACCTGTCAAGGCTCCTGGGATGGGGCTGATACCCATAAAGGGGTGCCCACGCACTGCGAGTTCTGTAGCAGACTGCTGATGGTGTTGATGGGAATGGACGCCAGCGCATGCCCCATGGGCAGCAGGGCATTGAGGAGGGAGGGTGGAGGTTTGGCCGTGGAGGGTGCCTGTGTTGGGTGCTCACTTGCCCTGCTCTGTGGCTTCCTTCCTTGCTCCTTCCCTTCCCCGCTCCTCCCTTTACTTTTACCTCCCTGTTCTTCTTTCTGGTGCTCGATAACGGCCAGCTCCTACGCTTCATTCTCCAAGACCTCTCTGCTCCAGGCCACTGTTGGGACGTTCGAGGCCTGGTCTGCCGTATGTAGGGCCCGATGGCTGGCGCCCCCTATTGGAACAACTTGTCCTCTGCACGCCCCGGCCTGTCATTGGATGAGCAGGAGTGTCCTTGTCGCTGGTGCTGGTTGTCTTTGAGCCTTATGGTCCATCTGTGCCATTTGTCCTTTCCAAGAGTCTGAGTGCTTTCGCCTCTCCCTGTCTATTGGCCTTGTTCTCTCTTGTCGCCTCTGAGCTCTCCAGAAGCAGGGGGTAGATGGTTCCTGTGGTGCTCAGGAGGCCGGTTGTGCCAAGGAGGCTGATGGGGGTTGACAGGGAGCAGGGGACGGATGGCTTTGGATGACGCTTTTCTACGAGTCCCTAGAGGAAAGAAGGAAAAAAGTGCCTTCCTGCATCAGTAGCCAGTAACTGAGCTTCTGGTCCCAAAAGATTAACTGTGAGGCTCCATTCCATTTTTATTCCCAAATTGCAAAACCCCAATGAGCCATACAAGAAGTATTTCATTGCTTTACATCACAACAAAAGAAAAAATAAAAAGAGAACAAATCTGATATCTGATAAAGCTAACTCCCCCCCTGCCTTTATCTGATTATGTTCTTGGAGTGGAGCAACAGGAGTGACTTTTAGCAACACCCAAGCCTGTCATTGTCGTCTTTTACCTGACAACGATTCCCGTTTCGTCCAGAGTCTCGGTCCCCTCTCGTGTGAGCCTGGCCCGAGGTGCTCCTCCTCAGAGTCTCCCGGGTTTTAGCCCCAGGGTGGCGGTGTGGGGAAGGAGGGTGGGGTCCGGTGCAGGCGGTTCACGGCCTCCTGGGTGGCGCACCTGTTACTGCTGGCTGTTGAAGTGCTGCTGTGCATTGGGGGCCATCTTTTATGGCCCGAAACACGGAAGTTGGCCGCTTGCTAGGGATCTCAACAGCGTGGAAAAACACGGTAGGACGCAAAGTTAAATGCGTATCCTCC